CTAAAAATCTTAATTAATAAAATTTATTATATGACCATATATAGTTTTGATTTACATAGTATATCGAACACCCCAATATAGCATGTATAATACCTATATACCCGGGTATAAGTCACGAACTGGCGCTTCAAACTGGCAAGGGTACACCGCATGGGGGGGATACGTGTCCGGATTTTACAGTACGTATATAATACAGTAATATCAATTTTTATTGAATTTATTATACCGAAAAAATAACAGGCAGAAAAATTTTTCGGCTAATATGCACTCCTTGCATTACAGTAATACTTACTTGTTACATTAATCCGGATATCCCATTGATAATTTAGAAATTGAGCAATTTGATTGATAAATTAATTGATCTACAAAACTTGACCAATCAGACAAACTTCTCCTGTATATTTTTAATTGTTTAGCCTTAAGTATATATAAACATGCATCTTCAGACCCATATCCGTTTAGTGTAAATTATGTAAATTATGTGTATATAAATAAGTGTACAGCCCGAATCCCTCTCGCCTGTGATCAATTACAAATTAGATTATTTATGTTGGATTCAATTGTGATGGATATAATCCCTCGCCGGGTTTAATATATGTGTAACATTAACGGTCTCTGCTGTTAAAATAAGTGCAGTTATCTTTTTTTTCTGCTCGAAAATTACTTCAAATTTATCAGAATCTTAAGGCTTACTGCATTAGCGCGATGCTTCTTGTTATCATATGAAATTACAGCATATACATTAAATTGAACACAATTACTTTTAATAGGCTGAAGAACTGAAAATCTTCATATTAAATTATATTCTCTTTTTTCTTCTTCTTTAAATTAGCTACAGTATATATAAGAATGAGGTCTCAGCCAACTTCAAATAAAAATCAAAATAATTCCATATTCCACGCTACATTTCTTGATGGTATTCGTGGTGCAGCAGCTTTAGGTGTTGTTTATGCTCATTGCAGGTTTTATGGCCAAGTTCTTGCCTTTAATACATTCGACATTTTTGGATATTATGGAGTAATCACGTTTTTTGTGCTTTCCGCTTTTTTACTTACTTTTCGAACGTTATTGGATTGGGAACGGTATCACGAAAAGAGAGAAGAGACAAATGCTACAAATTCGGTTGTAGTAAATAGAATTGATCATTTAGAAAGTAGTGTGGATCTCGAAACAAACTTATCAAACGTTCCACTCTTATCATCGACGGATTCTGATAGCAATGTAATCTCTTACTACAGTATTTATATTTTATATTTAATTGAAATTATCATATTTTATTATTATTGCTAATCATTTATTAATTAAATATTAGATTGAAATATCCTCAATAGAAGAAAAAAAACCTTATAATTCTTTTTATTCTTATATCCGAAAAAAAATATTGCCAAAATATCAAACGCCGATAAAATTTTGGTCAAGGTTCTTTCTTCGTCGATTTATGCGTGTATACCCACCATATGCGATTCTTTTACTGTTTGTTACATATAATGACTTCTTAAGAAATGCATATCACAATTTTGTGGATCCATCGACTCTAATTCCCCATCTGCTTTTTCTAACGGATAATAATTCTATTTTTTGGACTATTCCTATAGAATTAATGGTATTTATTTTTACTAATTTTAATAATTTTCACCAGTCAAAATCAAAAATTTGTAATATATTAATAAAATTTTTATTATATATAGTATTATTTATGTATACCAATAGTTGTCGTTGGATATGTGGAGTTTGCTCGTTTTGGTGCTTTCCTTACAAACTATTACTTTAAGAAACCCATAATTGGTGCTTGGATATGTCGAGTACTTGCTAATGTTTTTATTGTGGCTAAACGAACAGAATTATTAATGGCTCGCAGTTTAGACACAGACTTTTTTAGAAGCAGTTTTACGGAAACTCTTTGTATCTTTTTGGTCGGATCAATATGTGCAATTTGGTATAGAGAAATAATCCGTCTTGGATTGTTACCATTGAGCTTAGAGGAAGAGAATTCTCTGGCCGATAAATCAAATGATTATAATATATCTACTCTTACAAGACTGGGATTTGTTAAATTTATTATAAGTAAATTACCGAGTCGACATCAGTGTGCAAGAAAATTTTTTGACTTTGGATGTTATTTTTTACTTCTCTTGAAGTTTTGTACATTGCCTCATGTAGCTGAAAAAGTTTTTGGTGTACCTCGCACAGATGATATGGTTTTAGAAAGAAAACTTGGTGGTTTACTCGATGGAATGCTAATTTTTTTTGGCTTACTATCCCGAAATGGCTCTTTTGTGACTGCGCTTTCTTGTAATCTTTTACGTTTTTGTGGAAAAGTTTCATTCAGCATATATTTATTACACCCAGCTGCATTGACGATTGTGAGCGAATATGGGACTTCTATTGGATATAAAGCGGCAGACCAAGAATCAGATGAAGTTGAGAAGGCTAATGTGATGTTGGATGCAGTGATGTTGTCATTTGTGACAACAATTTTTTTAGCATGGCTCTACTTTAAATGTGTTGAAAGGCCTTTTATGAATTTAACTAACTATATTGCGAAGAGATGGTTAAGTGAGGCAAAGCTTGCTATCAAAAAAAATTAATTTATTTTCATGATTTATCATGTAATAATAGATTTACTAGCTTTTTGGACCCGGGCAATGCCGGGTACGAGGTTCTAATTTTTTTCTTTGTCTTAGGTTCTTAGACATTATAATTTTTAAATTTTTGGTTTTGATTTTCATTTATTATAAAACGCACCTATGGTGGTTTTGCTCCTATTATACATTTTTATATATTTTTCTAAGTTTTATAAGTTTTTTTATATAAAATTTTTAGCATAAATTTTTCATGTATTTGGTGATAGAATTAAGGTTTAGGATGGGTTTTTGGGGATGTAGAGCATTTTTACTAGAGTATCGCATATTAATTAGTTAGCCAGTTAGTAAAAGTGTTTAATTTTTTTTAATTTTTTTAATTTATTTAAATTAAATTATATAACAATACTTTTAATCTAAACTTTTTTTGTCAACATGCAACAGATTATTTCTAATAAAGTTTATAATTACGTTAGGCATCTTATTTATTGGTTGCAATCTTACTCGTGATCTGCCACATACCTTTTGGACTAAAACAGAAAGGATTTTTGTATAAGAATTTTTATAAGATCATATCTTAATTATCTTATATGTGCTATCTGATCGTTCTGAGCGTGCCCCAAATCCTTTTTTATTGTATTCAAGGTTGCATTTATAATATTCAATAAGTTAAATCGACTTTTGATTCCATAATTCGATGTATGCATTGCTATAAAACTTTATTTGAATTTATATACTAAAAATATATGTACAATATATAGTAAACTTAATGTTCATTGCTCATGTGCCTTATTAGTTAAACCTTATAATATTTACATAATATTTTCTTTTATGCACATCTTGAATGTGTGCTAGTAATTAGCTACAGTGATCAGTGCCATTTAAATTCTTTCAGATAAACCTCTGTTTACTTATTGTACAGTACATATGTACGTTCATAGAATCTCTTTAAATAATACTTTTCACCTTGTACTTCGTCAATTGTTCTGTGCTTTATGGGTTTCTATTCTTCTAATTTGTAAATTCTATGGCTTAGAGTAGATTATATAAAAGCTTATTTTGTTTCAAAAATTTTTTTTAAACTATGCAATACATTTAACCATATTCAGTAAGTATGAAAATGCTATCATTGCTTCTATTTAATTAAAATTTGATTAATTCATGCTATCGCAGCTACAGAGCCTAACCATAACGTGAGGCTCTTGCTTAATTACCAAAAATAAGATTCTTGCGCTACTTGCAACAGCTAATTACAACATGAGTTCCTTGCATTGCTATTGTAGCCATAGAGCCTAATTACAATATAAGGTCCTTGTACTGCTATCGTAGTTGAGAAGCTTAATCACCAAACATGAGGCTCTTGCATTGTCTGTAACAGCCATGGAGCCTAATCACAACATGAAATCCTTGCACTGCTATCGCATCCATAGAGCCTAATCACAATGTGAGATCTTTGCACTGTTATCATAGCTATGGTGCTTAATCACCAAATATGAGGCTTTTGCACTGCCTGCAGCTACCATAGAGCCTAATCACAACATGGGTTCTTGTATTATTATAGCAGCCACAAAGCCTAATCTCCTTGTACTGTTTTTGTAGTTGTTTTTTTGTTTTTGTTTTAAGAGTAGAGAATACTATTTGCAAATTATATATAAAACTAATGGTAATTTTTTTCTTTTTAAATATTAAAGAAAATTTTATTAAGTAAACTGGTTTTAAATTTCTAATAAAAGATATAGAACAGGTTTTTCTAATTCTAACAGTAGTAAAATCATTAAAATTGGTTAGATATTTATTAAGATACATGTATTTAAATATTTAGTATTATAAATTGTTTTTAAAAATCATATGTTGATCATATGACATAACCAATCAAAATCAACGATATTGTGTAACCCCAGAAAATTTGAACTGACTCTGGAAAACTTACAGTATATTTTTTTAAAATATTTGATTTATTAAAAATTTTACTATTATAAAGAATAGATATTAATCTATATAATATAAAAATTAATTAAAACAGTATAAAGTTTTATTAGTAGCATACTTTATTTTTTATAAAAACCACGTTGTACTACAAAAATCATATAATAAATGATCTATGTATTCTCTATACTTAATTATCATTGTTTTTTATTTTTTTAAAAATTTTTTTTATCATTATATTTTTTTTTAATTTATTGTTTTTTTTAATTTTTTAAATAATCAGAGTTTTTTAATTTTTTTTAAATAATTGTTTTTCTTTAATTATATTATTTTTTAAGAATTTATTAAATTATTATTTTTTAAAAAAAATTGGGTTTTTTTGTTTTTAATTTTTGTTGTTTTTTAAACTTATTTATTTATTATTGTTTTTTTTATTTTTTTTAAATTTTTTTATTGTTTTTTCTTTAATTTATCATTTTTTTATATTAATTTATTATTTTCTTTTTTAATTTTTTTAAATAATTGATTTTTTTAATTTATTATTTTTTTAAATATTAAACAATTATTATAAAACACATCTATGGTGTTTTAGCACCTATGTATAATTTCTTTTAATAAAATTTAAGGTTAAGGTTAGGAAATTAAGATTTATTTTTTTTATATAATATATTATAGAGCTAATATACAGGCCCAATTTTAGTTCTCATGAGGTTTTTGGGGGTCCTGAACATTTTTACTTAGAGAACTCGATCCCACTTACTTAATACGGTTTTGAGAAATGGAACCTATAGTGTAAAAACACCATAGGTGCGTTTTAGTAAAAGTCTTTCTTAAATTATTATTATTTTTATTTTCTTTTAAAATTTTTTATTGTTTTTTTAAATTAATCGTTTTTTAATTTATTGTTTCTCTTTTTTAATTTTTTAAATAAGCTTTTTTATTAATTTTTAAATATTTTTTAAAATAATTTATTAATAGTGTCACAGGCAGAATAAATCGTGACCACCTAAAACGTGACCCAAATGACGATCGGGTCCCAG